TCTTTTTTTTTTTTTTTTTTTTACAAACAAACTGCTGAAAATTTAGTTTTGCCATCACAGGAATAAATTACATTATAAATATTTAAAAATGTTAATAATATTTCAAATAATTTTCTTCTCTTCTTTCAAAAACATTTTTACGAATTTTAACAAGCCCAAACTATTGAACTGCAGTGTACTGGATGTAATATATTCCTTGAAAGGATTTGTTGGTTGCAGTTTTAATAGGAATTTAATTTGTTTCCTAACTAAGTCAGCATTTCTTAAATCTGTTTTTACAGTACTGGTGAAGGAGGGAAAGATCTGTCCATTTGTGGCCTTCATTGGACATGGAGAATGTAATATCCTTCAGGATGTGGGATCATTGATAAAACCTGTTGAAAAGAAGGTATAAGGACAAGTAATCATACTTTGAAAAGAAATGTCACAGCATGCATATTCTTATTTTACTGCTTTTTTGTCAGCAATGGTAGTGTAGATAGTGTTTCGTGTTTGTGAATTGCAGGGCTGCAGGATCAGATTTGTGATGGTTGGTAAGCTGGGTCCAAAGCAGTCATTTGGAGAGGTCAGCATCCTACTGAACCAGCCATCCCCTTATACTGTAATCACTGCCACTGAAGTTCATGGTGGAATCATTCAACCAGAATGCCTTAAAGGTCAGTCGCTACACTTTACTGCTTACTACCTGCACAGAGAAGGATCACCATGACATTACACTGACCTTGCATGAACACACATACTCGCACAGTAACACACACTGAGTGTTTTGTTTTGTATTCTGCTGTGTATCTGAATGAGATTGTTTTTAAACCCATGCTCAGGACTGGACTCAGTGACCACTTCTCTTATACTGCAGACTGTGCAACCAATGTGTGGAAAGCTCAGTGAGGTAAGATAAAAGGACCTTTATGAGCAGCGTTGAGCAAAGAATTGGATAAATAATAATTATTATCATTATTATTATTATTATTATTATCCTTATAAACTAAAAATATATATATAATTTAGGGATGCACTATATTAGGACCATGTCAGTTAACAGCGGATATTACTCTTTTTTGGGGGGGGTCGATATTGGAAATAATAATAACAACAATTTTATTTTATTTTCATCATTAATATTATTATTATTATTATTGTTATTTGTTTTATTGTTATATATAATTAAATAATAATAAAATAATGTTGATTAAATAATAAAAAAAATTATGAAAATATGTAATTATGAATAATATTTCATGTATGATATATTTCATTTTTTTATTGAATTCATTTTTTATCAAAAATAACTGTATTTAGATATATTGTTTTCTGGCTAGCCAAAATTTTAATATTGGTTCTTTTAATATTCCTAAAAGGAATTGAACATAGTCACACAACAGAGTAATTTTGTTAGTCCAAAACAACAACACAATGGACTAATTAAAAATGGACTGCAGTGTTAGAGCATCCTGGGAAATGAAATGTTCTTCCAGCATGGTCCATAAAATGCAAGTTGCAGACATAAGGTTGTTTCACCTTGAGGACTCTTTGCTGCTTTTGTTTCACATGTCTGTTTTTCTTTGTGCAGGAGGAAGTCTTGAAGGAGTTTATATTCCTAAAAGGAATTGAACATAGTCACACAACAGAGTAATTTTAGTCCAAAACAACAACACAATGGACTCATTAAAAATGGACTGCAGTGTTAGAGCATCCTGGGAAATGAAATGTTCTTCCAGCATGGTCCATAAAATGCAAGTTGCAGACATAAGGTTGTTTCACCTTGAGGACTCTTTGCTGCTTTTGTTTCACATGTCTGTTTTTCTTTGTGCAGGAGGAAGTCTTGAAGGAGTTCCTGACACAGGAGAGGATGAAGAAATGGGAACATGAGAAGGTTGTTCTTTCATTCTTCTTTCTTTCTGACCCTTTAACCCATAATACGATGTGTGTCCTCCTTCTGGGTGTGTGTTGTCCGTGGAGAATGACCAGCAGAGTGAATTATAGTGCCAAACCCTTCTGGAACACACTCCAAAAAAAAAATAAAAATCAAGCAGTGAGTTCATGAGATGCATAAGCTGTTCTTACTCCCAGACACCCGATCAACTTTGACTTTGTTCTCAGAGACTCCAGACTCTGCGTTCACATAGCACACACATGCTCTGATATGTTACAGAATGGTCCAGTTCTCTTTGGTAAAAACGCTTTCCAGACCAGCTCTATCCTCTGGACATTTTATATACGGTAGAGATTTTGCTATATCTTTATACCTTAGTAGGCATTTTCACACAGCAAAAATGAGCTGGACTTCGTTATTTACACATGACAGCATCAAAAACACATGTACGAGAACAAAAACTCAGTAAGACACAAGAGAAGTAAAAAGTTGTTATTAAAGTATATAACATGATGCTGAGATGCTACATTAATACATTTCAGAATGAGTTTTTTTTTTCAAACACAAACTATCCATTTTACATAGTAGTTTGTATAGTTAGGTTAGGTTAGTAGTTGCAAGTATTACATAATTTGAAGCTGTTTTTGCACTAATGCCAGACCTGTCATTCATTTGTTATTAATAATTGGTGTATTTTTTGGTTTGCATCTGTACAGTTACAATTAAAAAATAGAAAGTAATTAAATGAGATGAAGTACCTGTCAGCTGTAAAGTATTTAATTCATCAGATTATCCCAAAATAGGCCTTACAAAGTGGTTATTTATTATATAAACAGTCATTCCCGCTGCAAAATAAATGAAAAACTGTTCTATATCGTTAATCGTGACACTCAAATATTCCTCTCTGGCAAGCAGATCTAGTGCAGATCTTAAGTGTGTGTGGTCCTGTATGGAGCTCCCAGCGCTTATAAAAAGAAGAGACTGGTGCTTTGTGTGTGTATGTAAACATTTCCCTGTGATCCTCAGAAGCGCTCGCTATAAATGTTTTTCAGATGTGCCTGTATCACTCACTGGATGTAACTGTGCCATCGGGAGCTCTCATTCAGGTGTAGCTTTGTAGTTATGGTTATGTGCTTGACAGGCTGCAGTGTCACATAATAATGTGTCTTCTTTTCTCTGTATAATGTCAATACTTTTATATCCCATATGGAAAATGCTCCTTGACTGGTCCTGCATGAGAGCCAGACTGCATCCTAATTCACATACTGTGTACCTGAAGTACTATTAGAGCTTGGATGGTTGGCATAGGCCAGTTAGTCTGGTTCGTAACTTTTAAATCATTTTCTGTGACTGATTTATTATATTATATTACATTATATTATATTATATTATATCAATTTTATCTTATTTTATTTTAATATGTTCCTTGAGGTTTGCTTATAATGTTAAAGTTTTTTGCACAAAAAAAATAAAATAAATAAATGTGGAAAATTGATTATTTTCAACCCTCATTCTGACCCTTTGTCTAAAACGACCTGCTTTTAAGGGGCGGGGCCTGTAAGGGTTATCAGTAATCGGGCACTGTTATGATTGGCTAACGTCATTGCATAGTAAACAGAATCAACACCCCGCCCCCTCACTATTGCATGTTTTGACAACATAATCAAAATAAAACAGTCATTTCCAGACAAAGCATTATGAAATCATTTACTTACGGTTTGTGATGCAGAAGCAGTCAGACACCGTGCCTCGTTTACAAAACAAAATCCTTCAAACAATCGTCTGACATAAACTATTCACTCGTTCCTAACGCTGGGATCCTTCTGATATCTGTACAAAACGCGTCAAAGCGAACGTTCTTTCATTCAATTTGTCCTGACGACAGACTCATGTGTGTGGACTGTCAGAAAGCGAATGCGCATCTGTATACTGTCTTCAGTGTAGACAAGATAGCGGCAGTGATTGTAATTTCTATTTGTTTTTGGCATGGCACGTCACAACACTTGCATTTAGCGTAATCAAGTGTAAGCCGTGAACGCCAGTGGGCGGGGCCTATGGTGAGACGATGACTATTCATCAATGTCTTGCTCTGGAGGCAGTGTATATGCAAATTTTTGTGCCCCTGTGATGTCATCTGGCACCTCAGATCCAAAACGAGCCATTTTTGGAGCTTGATTAAATAAACGCTTTGTTTGTAATGAGGAGGATGTTTTAAGCTTGAAACTTGCAGGATGTTTTAATGGTACAAAGACCTCTTATATGCCAAAAGATCAAGGTAAATTTGATTATGACCCCTTTAATAGTGTTTTCTGTACTGTAACCATTCATGGAGGCTGTCATTTGCTATTATGCTGGTGTTCACAATTGATTTCTTTACTAGACACTAGCTTGTTGAACTAGTTGACAGCAATTTTGTAGGTAAACAACATGGCTGCGTTGGTCCAAGAACTAGACAGGATAAACCAGTTCTTCTGAGCAGCATAGAAATTCAGTTGGAAGTTAGTTTTCCTCCATGATTTGTTAATTATGCTAAAATGTTCAGGTTTTTGATTAAGTGTGGCCTGTTTCTTACAGTGACCAAAGTGATTTAATTAAAGCCCTTTTTGAGACGATTAGACATTGTTCCACCTGAATATCATTCATTAAAAGTGCTTCTAATTATCGTTGATATGACTGACAAGCCTGGTTGCACAAACTGTACTCTATGCCTTATCAAAGGGATTCAAATGGACAACCTTTTGTAACAGTGCAATACATAAGCTATAGAATCATGATGCTGATAAAAAAAACGATCTATTTTTTTCTCTCCCTCAGAGGAAGATACTTTCCGATGCTCTGTTTTATAATGGCGTTCACCCAGGAAGAGGCAAATGGACTTTTAACAGAGGACCAAGAGGAGTAATTGTGAAATCCAAGAAGACCATATGAACTTTTGACAGATAAACACACACACAAATACAAAAGCAGTTATATTAGGGGTTGCACAGACTAGTTCTGCCACCTCGTGAGAGCAAAAGGCTTTTAGTGAATTTTCATGTTTGCATAATTACAAATATATTTGCAAATGTCTTTGGGAATAAATATCATGAGAAATATGAAAAGAAAATGTAGGTGCAAATATATTTAAAGAAGATTTAGTGAGAATTGTCATGTATTTTCAGATAAGACATTTCAAACAAGGAAAAATATGTATTTGCAAATGCATTTAGAATACATTTAATAAGAAAAAATTCTGGAAAAATCAAACAAGAAATTTCACAATTATATATTTGCAAATATATTTATAGTTTTTTTTAAATATATATATATATATTCTACAAGAAGTTTCATAAGAAAAATATGCATTTGCAAATATTTCTGGAATTGTTCAAAGTGTTGCAGTTTTTTTGTGAAGTTTATGATAGTGAAAGCAGCATGCAAACTCTAATTTCTCTCATGCTCTCCATTATTGCAACATGTCAACTAGTACACTTGAGTAGTCATGCAAACACTAAATGATGTATTTCTGAATATATCTGCTGCCTTCTTGAAGAAAGCCAGGCTTCTGAATCCCAGGGAAGACATGCAGACCTGTCCAAACTGTTATCTTGTGTTTTTGCTGGAAGTGGAGTTCTGGATCCCACTGCTGACATCCACTCCAGAGACAGAGAAACAGACCTCAAGGGGTTTATTTCCTTCACCACAGCATTATAATCCTTCACCTTCTGCCTTTTCAAAAGCATTTAGGTTTTGACAGTGTGCAGGGTTTTTCTGTGTGCAGCTACCTAGAGGGATTGAAAATACAGAAACAGAAGGATGCAATTAAACCCACTTGGATTGACAAAATGGGATGATCCCCAGGTGTGTTTGCTTAGCCCAGCCAAGGGTGAATCAAACTTGTGGGTGTCCACCAATCCACAAAGATCCAGCCACATCCCTGACTCCCTGTAGCCTTTCATATGAAGCGTTGTGCTCTTCTTGTCATTGCTTCTCATGTCAGAGTCACATCAGTTACAAATAAGCTTGTCAGTTCTTTTTTTCCATTCCTTAAGCATGTGAGTGTGTTTCATGTTGGGACGTCAGGCTTGGGTGAATATTTGCAGACGAGCTCTAAGTAAGGGAAACTGTATTTTTAACATCAACATATATAGTAAAGACAACAAAATGCTCTTAAATTATTGTCGTATCAACCAGACTGCCACGTCTCGCATGCATGCTATAAACTTTGGCGATTTAGCTCTTAAGTTAAATACTGTTGCAACTGCCTTGTGTCAACTCATATCTGACAGGCCTTAAATTAATAAATCTTTATGGAAACTCCAAGCCTAGAATATTTTAAGTCTGTTTAGGTTCAAGGAATTTTAACTGCCCCCATTGGGGATGGCTAATCTCTGTTTCCTGAAGGAAAACAGCTCAAATTCTTTTTATAACCTTAAACTCTTATTTAGTCTACGTCTGTCCTTAGATGACTGACCTTGCAGGGTTTCTGTGATCTGGTGACTGAGTGTAGACTAATGTTTGTGGTTGATTGATTGGTTTTGATCATCCTTGTTTGAGTTTCTGACGGCTTAATTTTATTAAGTACCTCCAGACAAAATAAACACTAAAACTGGTTGTATTAGATGTCTTAGCAAAATGCTAGATTTTTTTTTTAACGTTTCATTTCAAAGTTTTTAGTCATGGTTTTTCCTTGCTAATGTAATAATACTCTTCCAGGTGAACATTCATGGCAATATTTTGGCAGGTGGAGCATGCGTATTTTTCCATTTAGTGCATTTGTTTGGAAAAGGTCACTTGACTTCCAGAGAACAGATGTCAGAGATGATGAGAAGGAAGACAAGTTGTTGCAGACATGCTTCAGATGACCGTTGACCTTTCCTTTGGACCTGGAACTCATGGAAATCCAAGGTACTTCCAAAGAATACAATGGTAGTACCATGGTACTTTTGTAAGTGCGTTGTACATAACCTGTGCTTTTTCGCAGTAAATTCGCAGTAGCAGTACAATGATAGTTGTGAACTTACCTTGGGATGTAAATACCATGGTACATGATTTTGCAGTACCATAGTATGGTCATTATGATAGTACTGTCACCATTTTTGTAAGGGATGGTACCAATGGTACTAATGTGGGACATGTCCAAAAACCATGGCATTTCAATAGTATCATGCCCAAAACTGTGGTATGGTACATAGTACTTTATTTAAACTTGCAGTAAAGAATACCATGGTAAATCTCCAAATTGTGGTATTGTGGCCAAAATTCTTGGATATATAAAATATGGTATGTTTATGGTATGTATCCAAAACACTGTATTGTCATAACCCAGTATATATTCAAAAAGCATTGGTACAACCATGGTAAATCTCCTAAAACATGGTACTGCCTTAGTATATATCCAAAAAGCCATGGTAGTACCAACATAAATCTCCAAAAACATGGTATTTTCATAATATGTATCCAGAAAGCCATTGCAATGCCATATTGAATCTTCAAAAACATGGTATTCCCATCGTATATATCCAGAAAGTCATGGTACTACCATTGTAAATATACAAAACATAGTATTTCCATAGTATATATACATAAAGCCATGGCAATACCATGGTGAATCTCATAAAACATGGCATTGCCATAGTAAATATCCAAAGATACATGGTAGTACCATTATAAATCTCTAAAAACATGGTATTTCCATAGTATATCTCCAAAAAGCCATTGTAAAACCCCAAAAACGGCATTGCCATAGTATTTATCCAAAACACCATGGAACTATCATGGTAAATATTCAGGAACATGGTATTGCCATAATACTAGAGCTGTCAAACGATTAATCGCATCCAAAATAAAAGTTTTTGTTGCATGTATATATTTAAGAAAAATATGTTTATATATTAAATATATATATATAAATTATATGAATAAATATACACATGTAAATAGTTGTAAAATATATACTGTATGTGTGTATATATTTATATATACATAACAAATATACACAGTACGCACACATATGTGACCAAAACTTTTTGGATGTGATTAATTGTTTGACAGCAGATAGTACTGTAATCTCCAAAATATGGTATTTCTAAAACACGTTATTGCCATAGTACATATCCAAAAAGGCATGGTTCTACATTTTGAATCTCCAAAACATAGTATTTCCATAGTATAGGCCTACAGTATATTCATAAATCCATAGTACCATGGCGAATCTCCAAAAACATGGTATTGTCATATTATTTATCTAAAAAGCAAGTACCATGCCAGTGCAGAGGCGATCCAGCCTCTCTCAGTCTATAAACAGTTGCGTATGCCAAACAACATTAAAACGTTGTAGAAATCCTCTCTACAGGAACTGGTAAATGTGCCGTAGGTGTTTTATAATGTTCGACTTCATTTACTCCAGGTCTCATGACCTCATAATTAATGTTTGCCAGACAACAGGAAGCTGATATTTCACAGACACACACAAACACACATGAACGCACCCGGTGACATCCACCATTTTTTTGCCTCTGCCTGACATGAACGGAAATAGTAATGGATAAACAATGCAATTATCCTGGCGCTGTGCCCGTCTCCCTCCAGACCAAAACCTCTGCAGCCTGCAGAACATCCATCATGCTGCCTCCATCATCACCACAAATACCTCACATTCAAACACAGCAAAGACGCAGCGAATCCATCTGCCCTCCTCGTCCTCCTCAGACCATTAGATGCTTATCATCTATGTCTAGAAGTCTCACGCCATTTATTATATTTGAATAGGCCTACATGACGTCGTCTGGAATTATTTAGCATCTCGTTTCTCTTCAAACGCAAATCAGTGGTATTTTCTCTCTTTTTTTATGTACCAGTTCAGATTCAAGACAATACAAGGCTTTCTTTTGTGTCCCTTTGGAAAGAAGATGAATGAACGCAAATGAATAATTTTGGTCACTTTGTGATGCTGAATACTGTTCTTCATATGACTCCCAGTCCCATCTGTTCCGGTCATATCATGTTCTGATACGCGTCATATCGGGGAGGTTGAGACGTCCTGTAATTTTAGATTCTGTCACAGTTTATGGTCCTCTGATGTGCCGTCATCCGTCTCTACCTCGCACATCTGGAAGCGTACGTCAATAATAATAATAAGAGTCTGCATTGATTTTACTTTATAGCTATCATTTAAATCAAAGTTTGAAAAGGCATGAAGTCTTTGTAGGAAAGTCTTGAATGATGTTATAATATAGCCTACTTTTATTCAAAATGAAATAGAAATGAACTATTCTCATTATCAATAAGTCTAAACATTTTTGATAATATTGTATTAGTATATTTTAGTGCTGTACACTACCATTAAAAAATTTAGGGTCAGTAACATTTTAATACTTTCAGTCACTGTGTCTATCACGCGACTCTGTTCCCCTTTCGGGCTCTGTCTTTACATTTATTTTGAAAGATGAAGCTCGTGATTATGGTAAGGGGCGTTACATTTCCGACGAGTGCTTGCGGTGTTCGGCCAATCACAATGCACTGGGTCAGCTGGCCAATCAGAGCAGACTGCGCTTGTCGGAAGGAGGGACTTTGTAGAAAACGAAGCGTTTGAGAGAGGCGGGGCATAGAGGGCCTACAATAATGTACAGTATTTGAAAAATAATGTGTTTTTTGAACATTAAAGCATGTCAACATATTCTGTTACACCAAATACACAAAATAATGATCTTTAAAAAAAGCATCATATGACCCCTTTAATACTTCCATTCAGCAAGGATGCATTAAATTGGTTAAAAATGACATTTAAAAACGATTTCTATTTCAAATAAATGCTTTTTCTATTGTAATGGCTGCTAAAAAAATCAGCTTTGCCATTGCAGGAATAAATGACATTTTAAAATATATTAAAATATAAAAGTTTTTTGTAATAATATTTCACAATATGACTGTATTTTTGATTTAAATAA